GGGAAAATGCGGAGTTGGGGATGGCGGGGGTTGGGGCTCGGGCTCCTTGGAAAGGGCCTTGTGCCTGGCGCTGTGGGCTGCTGGACCCCAGGGGTGCAGGGATCTGGGGAGGGCCTGGGGCTGTCCGACACCATCCGTGGCTCCCTGCACCCGAAGGTTGCACCCTCGCGCCCTGCCCGTGTTCAGGCCAGTGCAGTGGCGGTCGCTCCTGTCTTTTGGAACCCGGGCACCTGAAGAAGGCCCTGCTGGCCGAACTCAGGATGAAGGGTTGGGCCTGGCTCCTCCCTGCGGGCCAGAGCTGTGAGGGTCACTTGGGGCCTGGTCATTCTGGTCCTGGTTCGGGGGGTGCAGAGGGGAAGCCCCGCTCACTTTTCTAGGCATGACCTGTGCACCACATCCTCTCCTGGCTCTCGGGACCTCATATCCAGCTGCCACTGCAGGAAGCTGGGAGGCCTAATAGACTGAATCTCACTCATGGAACCACTTCCCTCCAGTCCCCACTCCAGGGTCGCCCACGGGTGAGGGCGGCATTACTCCAGCCCCAAACCTGGGGTTCCTCTGGAATTCCGCCCTGTCCTGGCCTGTGCACCCGGCATGGCCACCGCAGCTACCGTCTCTGGCCTAGCAGGCCCCAGCCTCCGCCTGTTTAGTACAGGTACCTTTTCTTCACACAGCCATAGCGAGTCTTCGTTAAACATCGGAAGCCTGGCGGGGTGTGGGGGCTCACGCCTGTAGTCCCAACACTTTGGGAGACTGAGGCAGAAGGATCTCTTGAGTCCGGGAGTTCGACACCAGCCTGGACAACATAGCAAGATTCCATCTCTACAAAACAAAAACAAAAACAAAAAATTAGCTGAGCATGATGGCGCGGGCCTGTAATCCCAACTACCTTCTGGGCTGAGGCTGGAAAATTGCTTGTATCCGGGAGATGGAGGTTACAGTGAGCCGTGATCACACTACTGCACTCCAGCCTGGGTGACAGTGCGAGACTCTGTCTCTCCAAAAAGCAAAAACAAAATACAAAAAACCCTGAAGCCTGCCCATGTCATGGTCCTGCTGGGAACAAGACGGTTTCTCTGCTTCCTCCACAGGCGCTGACCTGCAAACTTTTCTGCCTCGAAACCTTTGCCCATGCAATTCCCATCTGCCTGGCACCAGGTTCCCTGGTGCTGCCCCTCTGCCTGGAGGGCCAGCCATAAGAGAAGGGCTGCCCTTGGAGTTCACAGCTAGCGGAGTGGGGGTCCCACAGCACACAGGAACAGGCAAGGCGCAAGGCATAGGGCCTTGGAGAGACGTAGCAGAGGAGAGGACCCGGACATGGGCTGGGAGCCAAGAGCAGAATCGCCGAGACTGTGAAGCTGGAGGAGTTGAAGGAAACCGGGGTGAATCTTTGGCTGAATGGACAAAGAGGCCTGGGTACGGAGCACCTGCAAGGGCAGAGGCGGGGAGGCTGAGCTGGGCCAGCGGTGGTGTCAGCCTTTCTTTGGGATGAGAAAGAGCAGGCGCTGTGGGGTGTTAGGTGTGGGCCCAGCGGGGCTGGGGTGGCGCTTGGGCCAGGCTGGTGGCAGGTGTGTGGCCTGAGTATCTGAAGGTGAGGCTCGATGGTCTGAGAGGGAGAAGCAGCGGCAGCTCTGGGACTTGGAGGTGTCGTTCTGATGTCACCCCACAAGCAGACCTCTGTGAGCGCACGTTTGGGCCCCATGGGCTCTGCTCAGCTTTAAGCCGGTCTGTGATCGCTGTCACACAGGACAGGGGCCAGGAGGGGCATGGCGAGCCCTCCACAGTGGCAGAGGGGACCTGCGTGGGGAAGCAGGCGGGGCGCCTGTAACCAGAGACCCTGGGCTGCAATTGTGCCCGAGGGGCCCTGGCTGTGCCGCCCCAGAACCCCCACGGACCAAGCAACGTGAGAGGGGAGTCCGTGTCCCCCGGGACCCCACCCCCTCCTGCGCACGCGGCGCACCTCGGGCTGCAGAGAGTCGTGCATTCCAGGACACCCCGAGCTGCGTCCCTGGGACCTCAGGACCGGGCGAGGTGAATCGTGCCGATGGGCCGGGGGC